GAGGTGACTCAGAAACCCGGGGCCTGACAAACTTTGTTCCTTTGCAGGTCACTGGATCTGAGACGCTTCCTAGGGGACCACGTTCCAGGGACGACCTGACGTGGTGAAGCACCTTCACTCACCTTCCGTCATGTTCCCCACTGAGCCCGGGGGAAGGATGGTGGGGCCCAAGGCCTGGGTGCTTCTCTTCTTCCTGGGCCTGGAGATCACCTCTGTGCTGGGTACAGGCTAAGTATCTGCTGTCTCCCAAATCCCCGACCTGACACAGTGAGGTCATGTCTGGTTTGGAACTCAACTACGCATCTGCCTTAAGCCCTGAGGCTGGTTTATAGACGTATTTAACATTTATACTCTGCTTGTTTCTCCAAAGGATTTGAGATAGTTCCCAATATTAAAACTCACAGAACAGAATGTTTTAAGCGAGGAGAAGAATGAGCTGTCATTCAGAGGGAGGAAAAAAGATAAGAGGGCTGCCACCCCTGAGTGATACATTTAGCTCTGAGCTTCCTGGCAGCCAAAGCAAAAGGAAATAGCAAGGGACTATTTCCTCAGAAGTAGATTTGGGGGTCGATCTGGTTTTAGTTTCATGGAAATTCTTTTGGCCTAAAGCTCAGTTTCATTTAGACCCTGCAGCCAAATTTCACAGCCTAGAGAACCCCTTCTGGTCTCCTTGTCCTCTAACCCCATCTTCTGGTGACACTGAGTTCTCGAAGGAATACGTAGAATTTGCTTACTAGACTCTCCAAGGCAGCTAAGTGTCAGAACTCCTAGTCCTATCCTGTGTACCCCCTCCCATCTGCCCTTTCTCTCCTGATTTCTAAGGTAGAATTTGCTTACTAGACTCTCCAAGGCATCTAAGTGTCAAAACTCCTAGTCCTATCCTGTATACTCCCTCCCATCTGCCCTTTCTCTCCTGATTTCTATTCGCATACTCAGGTAAAGCAAAAATATATATATATTTTTAAATGCTTACACCTCTCTTTTAAAGCTGCATGCCCTGCAGGCTTTGTGACCACAGATGCAGGAACAAAGACTGGCTCGGCGTCTTGCCAAACCCTGTGTGCCACCTCCTGCCTTGTTTGCTCTTTTCACCCTGACAGCTGCTGCTGTGTAGCTGATTAAAATTCAACCATCTGAGGGGAAATCAGAGTCGTCCGATTAGAGGAGCTCCTATCACCCCAATTAAAGAATTCTGACTTGGCTCCTCACATGAAAGTTAATTGCCTTTCAAAGCTCTCCTTTCTCTTTCCCATTCTGGAGCCTCAACCCGGCCTCAGGTGGGTGGGGCTGGAAGCGATCTTGTACCCATCCTAAGGCAGAACCCTCCACCCTGGGGTCAGAAAATTGACAACCACTGCACCAATTAGGCCAAGTAAGTCCTTTAGGGGGAGGATGGACTCTCACAGCCAACTTTGCCAAGAGAAGGGAAATGGCCATCTATGGCCCAGGCATTGAGCTAACAGGAGTTGTTGCTAACGCTTACTCAGCAGGCACTATGTATGAGGCGTTGTTCTAGGTGGATTTTATGAATGTGTTAATTTAATCTCCGCAATCCTCTGAGGCAGGAACTATATAATCCTCTGTTTATGATGCGGGAACAGGGGTCAGATGAGGGAAGTATCTGGTCCAAGGTCACGCAGGTAGGAAGTGGCAGAGTCTCTGGGTCTCATGTTCTCAGTGTTCATATACTTCAGAGATGTTCACTTGTTACCTCACAGCCCCTCACGCCAACCGGACCACCCTGTGAAGTGGGAATTAATATCTCCATCTTGCAGATGAGGAAAATAAGCCTCTATTCTTTCTGGCGAGGACAAGGCCGGACCCTAACGTAGGAGCTCTCACCCACTGGCTGCTCCCCATCATCCAAAGACCCATTTCTAGAACGCGAGCAAAAAGAGAATGACCGTTTGCTGAGCATGCACTACATGCCAGCTCCCTTTCCATTCATTATCGCCCCGAATATGCCCCAGGGCCCTATGATGTAGGACTATTAATCCAGCCCTGTTATGTGGGGAAGCAGGGTTAGAGGAATAAAACTCTTAATGAGGTTGCAGAGCCAGTAAGTAGCAGAGTAGGGATTTGAACACATGTCCTGTGTTTATGCTCCATCCACCATTCTTGAGAGGCTAGTAAGAGGACCCCTGGGCCCTGATAACTAACAGTTCTGGCCTCTCCCTTCCCCTCCTGGCCCCCAGGGAGGCAGATGATGATCACCCAGTCTGTGAGAAGAGTCCGACCTGGGAAGAGGACCCCCAGCAACTTTGCCAAGCCTGCGAGTCCCCTGGAGAGTGAGTTGTGGCTGGAGCTGGGAGGGGCCGCCAGGGGGTGTTTGCTGAGCTTGGGCATGATTTCAGGGTTGTATGAAAACCCGCTTTTAGAAGTTATGTTTTTATTGATCTCAAAGAGCGGAAGGGAGAGGGAGAGAGAGGTAGAAGCATCAGTGATGAGAAGCATTGATCAGCTGCCTCCTGCACGCCCCGACTGGGGACTGAGCCCACAGCCTGGTGTGTGCCGTGACCAGGAATCCAGTCATGATTTCCTGGTTCATGGGTTGACGCTCGACCACTGAGCCACATTGGCCGGGCTGGAAATCCACTTTTACAAGGCACTTGGCCTACGTCTTTGTCCAGGCAGAGGCACCTACTAAATAGAACAGTCCAGAATCGTGAATCTGCCTGATATGTTTCAGGAATGCTGGAGGGCTTGCTGGGGCCAGAGCATAGGCTGGTGCGGAGAGAGTGGGGGAGATGAGGATGGAGAGGTAGCAGGGGCCAGCTCATACCACCCTAAATGCTTGGCCAACGGAGTTAAAGCTGAGAGTGTGGGATCAACCCACATGAAGAAAGCTCACCCTGACTGCCGTGTTGGGGGTAGGGTCGGAGGGAAATTGAAGTAGAGAGACCAGGCAGAAAGCCAGGCTGCTAATATGGAGTCCTTGGCGGGAGTGGAAGGATGCAGAAGGGCAGGAGATTGGAGAGATGTTGGAGAGACAGATGCGATGGGCCCTGAAACCAATAGAGGGCGTTGGGCGGGAGCATGAGTGATATCAGGGATGACCCCCAGAACGGAACAGAAAAGGGAATTGGAGCTCACCTGGGGCTCCAGGGCCTGGCTCCTCCCCAACCGGGCTCTATCTCTCAGCTCCTGGCGAGTGGACAACATGGTTCAACGTTGACCACCCAGGCGGGCAGGGTGACTTCGAGCGACTGGATGCCATTCACTTCTACTATGGGGACCGTGTGTGTGCTCGGCCCCTGCGGCTGGAGGCTCGGACCACTGACTGGAGACCCGCGGGCAGCACTGGCCAGGTGGTCCACGGCAGCCCCCGTGAGGGCTTCTGGTGCCTCAACAGGGAGCAGCGGTCCGGCCAGAACTGCTCCAATTACACCGTGCGCTTCCTCTGCCCACCAGGTGAGCCTGTGCGGCCCCCACCCTTACCTGCCTCTGGCCATGGGACCTCTGGATATCACACCTACACAGGCCCTGATTCCCTAGTAATAACCAGCCAGTGTCATGAGAGCCCGAATCTTCCTGTTCTGTGTTTCTGGGTGCTCTTCGTTCACTCCACTTCACTGGGGACGTGTGCCCATGTGGTGAAAACCACAGACTCTGGAGCTGGGCTGCTTGGTCCCAGCCTGGGCCGGGAGCTCTATTCCTTAGTCCCTGGGCCTCAGGTTCCTCACACGTAGAACAGGTAATATTAGTAAATCTTATAGGTTTGTGTGTTTTTTTATGAGGATTAAGGAAGATAATGAATATAGAGGGCTTAGCCCAAGTAACATTCACTAAATGTTAGTTTCTATTTAGTCCCTTTGTGCCGGATACTGTGCTGGTTATCAACATCATTCAGACTTTACAACTGGCCTGTGAGGAATCGCTATGTTCAGAGAGGTTGGGTAACTTCTCATGATCACACAGCTGTAAGTGGAGAGCTGAGGTCTGAACCCATGTCTGTGTCTGCAGAATCCAAAAGTTTATGCTCTTTACTTCCCCCCTCCCGACACTGGGTAATACAGAGCAAGCTGCCAGCTGCCCCCTTTGTGGATGGGTACCCTCACCTCTTGGGGTTCCATCAGTGCCCACAAGCCCAGGTGGCGGTGGTGGTCATCTGGAGTTGGGAGCTCAGGCTGGGCAAGGTCTGAAGCCCCCATTATTGCACACAGACCTTAGGCGAGAGGTGAGGAGGGTAGGCATAAGGGGGTTTGATGTCTGAATCACCGCAGCCCCAGGCCCTGGTGGCTGTTTCCACACTGGTGGACAGAGAAGATGATGCTAACCGTGCACAGCCTGGGGCAGCATCTCAGCTCCCAGTGCTTGACCATAGGGTGTCTTTGTGCAAATTAGCGATGCCACTTCCTCAAAGCTCTTGACTTCCTTCCATTGGAAAAATCATTGTAGTAAATATGAATATCAGAGACATCTGTGATGTGAGGTCCTGCTCTCTGAGCAAAACTAGCCTCAGGGTCAGATTTCCTGACAAAGTTCCCCTGGGAGGGAAGTCAGACTGTCTGCCCATCCTGCTTTGCAGGATCCTTGCGCCGAGACACAGACCGGATCTGGAGCTCATGGTCTCCCTGGAGCAAGTGTTCTGCTGCCTGTGGTCACACTGGGGTCCAGACCCGAACACGCACCTGCTTGGCAGAGACAGTGTCACTGTGCAGCGAGGCCACTGAGGAGGGCCGGCTCTGTATGGACCAGGCCTGTACAGGTACCACTCCTGCTCCTGGTACGAGGCAGGGAATGGCGTGGAGGCTGAAGCAGCCTTCAGTAGGTTAAAGGGTCAGATTGAGATGGATTCATTCATTCATGCATTCATCAAGTATTAACTGAGCATCTATTAGGTGCTCTGATGGGGGCTAGGGCTATAAGGGGTAATGTGGGAGCACAGAAGACCATTGTCATAGCTTAGGGCTGTGGTCGGCAAACTGCGGCTCGCAAGCCACTGCGGCTCTTTGGCCCCTTGAGTGTGGCTCTTCCTAAGCCTTAGGAGTATCCTAATTAAGTTAATAACAATGTACCTACCTATATAGTTTACGTTTAAAAAATTTGGCTCTCAAAAGAAATTTCAATTGTTGTACTGTTGAGATTTGGCTCTGTTGACTAATGAGTTTGCCGACCACTGGGGAATCAGAGAGGACTTCCTAGAGAAGGTGTCCTGAGCTAAGTCCTGAAAGATAGGTAGGAATTAGTCGTGCAGGCTGATAAGGAAGGGTAACAAAGGCCTAAGGGGGAGGGGAAGCATATGTGAGTCCACAGGCTGAGATGGGGCTAGGGGAGGGCCCGAATCCACATAAGCCCTCCTGACGTGGCCCCTCCTTCCACAGCCTGTGACCTGATCTGCCACATGGGCCAGGCGAATGCTGACTGTGATGCCTGCATGTGCCAGGACTTCGTGCTGCATGGGGCCGTCTCCCTCCCTGGGGGTGCCCCAGCCTCAGGGGCCACTGTCTACCTGATGACCAAGACACTGAAGCCACTGACCCGGACGGACAGTAGTGGGAGATTCCGAGTCCCTGGCTTGTGCCCAGATGGCAAAAGCACCCTGAAGATCACAAAGACCAAGTTTGCTCCCATCAAGCTCACCATGCCCAAGACTAGCCTGAAGTCAGCCACAATCAATGCAGAGTTTGTGAGAGCAGGTACTTAAGTTCTCTGGGGTAGGGTGGGACTTTTAAATAAAGGGACTGCAGTGTTAAGAGCTGGTTTCCCAGTTTGCTTAGACCAGTGGTCAGCAAACTGCCGCTCGGCAAACTGCGGCTCTCGAGCTACATGCGGCCCTTTGGCCCCTTGAGTGTGGCTCTTCCACAAATTACCACGTGCGGGTGCACATGTACAGTGTGATTGAAACTTCGTGGCCCAGGCGCTGAAGTCGGTATTTTGTGGAAGAGCCACACTCAAGGGGCCAAAGAGCCGCATGTGGCTCACGAGCCGCAGTTTGCTGACCACGGGGCCTTAGACTAAAACTCTAAATCAGTGGTTCTCAACCTTCCTAAGCCATGACCCTTTAATACAGTTCCTTATGTTGTGGTGACCCCAATTTCATTGTTACAAATTGAACATAATTAGAGCATAATGATTAACCACAAAAACAATATGTAATTATATATGTGTTTTCCGATGGTCTTAGGCGACCCCTGTGAAAGGGTCGTTCGACCCCCAAAGGGGTCACGACCCACAGGTTGAGAACCGCTGCTCTAAATCCTTGCCATGACCTACAAGGCCCAACATCATCTGCTCCACCCCCCATTACCTCTCTGCTCTGCTCTTCTATTGTCCTCCTGTCTGCCCCCACTGAGTCACTCTACTCCAGCCACAATGTCCTCCTATCTGTTCCTCACACACACAGGCACACTCCTGCCTCAGGACCTTTGCACTCGCTATATACTCTGTTTAGATATTGGCATGGCTTGCTCCCTGAAATGAGTTCTTCCCTGGACCACCTGATTCAAATAGTCATTACAATATAGTGTGAGGTGTGGAGGTCAGGAAGAGACAGAGAGCAGCTGGGGGGTTCAGAAATGGTACAGAATGGCTGGAAAACTCTGCCGGAGGCAGCACAACAGGAATATCGCATTATTTAAAACAACCAACTCTCTTTTTTTCTTTTTAAGAAACTGGAAGTCTTTTATATATATATTTTATTAATTTTTTACAGAGCAGGAAGGGAGAGGGATAGAGAGTTAGAAACATTGATGAGAGAGAAACTTCAATCAGCTGCCTCCTGCACACTCCCTACTGGGGATGTGCCTGAACCAAGGTACATGCCCTTGACCGGAATCAAACCTGGGACCCTTGAGTCCGCAGGCCGACGCTCTATCCACTGAGCCAAACCGGTTAGGGCCCAACTCTGTTTCAATGGCCGTGCTTGGGAATCTTGGCTGGCACATGATCCCCTTGGTTCTCCATTGCCTCACCTGGATGCTGCCTGAGAGGCCCCGGAAGCAGGCCCTAAGGTAGAAGAGGTGGGCCCCATTCTGGATCAGTACCCTAATTAGGATCTGTACAGAGGGGCAGGTGGGGAGTGGGGGTGTGTGTGTGTGTCAGGTCATACAATTTTAACACTTGTCAAAGAACCCGAGGAAGCAAAGCTCTGGAGGATCTGTCACAAAGGAAAACCCAGAGCACCATTTCTCCTCTTCTGTCCCAGAGATCCCATACATTGTGAAGAACCCCGAGACCAAGGCACGGAGAGCTGGGCAGAGCGTGGCCCTGTGCTGTAAGGCCACGGGGAAGCCCAGTCCAGACCAGTATTTCTGGTGAGTATTCTGCCAGCTACCCTGCCCGATTCTTCTCTGGGCAACCAGATCTTTCTTGCATTCGGTCTGGTCTTATTTTTTTTTTTTTATTGATTTCAGAGAGGAAGGGAGAGGGAGAGAGAGAGAGAAACATCAAAGATGAGAGAGAAGCCAGCACCGGTTTGGCTCAGTGGATAGAGCGTCGGCTTGTGGACTGAGGGGTCCCGGGTTCGATTCCGGTCAAGGGCATGTACCTTGGTTGCGGGCACATCCCCAGTTGGACATGTGCAGGAGGCAGCTGATCGATGTTTCTCTCTCATCGATGTTTCTAACTCTCTATCCTTCTCCCTTCCTCTCTGTCAAAAATCAATAAAACATATTTAAAAAAAAAAGATGAGAGAGAATCCTCAACCGGCTGCTTCCTGCATGCCCCGCACTGGGGATCACACCTGCAACCGGGGCATGTACCCTGACCGGGAATCAAACCATGACTTCCTGGTTCATAGGTGGACACCAGCTGGGTGGTCTGATCTTATTAATCATAATACTAACCAACAGAATAAAGTTACAAGTACGGCCCATGTTCAGAGCCCAGAAGTTGGCACTTATGTTTTTCTGTTAATCCTCACCTGAGGATATTTTTCCGTTGATTTTTAGGGAGAGTGGAAGAGAGAAGGACAGGAAACATCAATGTGAGAGAAAACACATCAATTGGTTGCCTCCTGCATGAGCCCTGACCAGGGCTGGGGCCAGGGAGAGAGCCTGCAACCCAGGCACATGCCCTTGACTGGAATCAAACCTGGGACCCTTCCGTCCGCAGGCCAACCCTCTATCCCCTGCGCCAAACCGGCGAGGGCCGGAAGTTAGCACTTATGAGTGGGGGCCACAGGGTTGAGGCCACACAGACAACCAGTGGCCCTTTGTGGCCTTCTTGAGGCTGAGGTCCCTACAGAGCGGCTCTGGTCTCTGGGTCATGACTTGCGTATCCTCCGGATACAGAACGAGGTTCCTCAGCCCTGCTTCCCCGACAAAGGCAAAAGAGGTCAGCGTCCCCTGTGGCTGGGAGTCCTTCGCCCTTCAACCCTTCACAACCATTTTACAGCCGCTCTCTTGTTAGACCGCCCAGCGTTGCTGTGATGTCAGCTAGGAGGCACGGCTCCCATTTTATTGATCAGGAAGCTGATGCTAAGGAAGGTGAGATGATTTGTCCAAGGATCCATAGCCAGCGAGTGATGGGGCTGAGACTCAAGCAAGTCCCTTGACTCCCAGGCCAATCAGTGCTCTTGGGTGAGCTATGTCACCGGTGGTATTGGCATCGGCAGGGACCCATCCGCCATCTGTCTCTCTGTCTCTATGGCACTGCCCCCTCAGGCTGCATCTCTCCATCCCTTGCAGGTATCACAACAACACGCTGCTGGACCCCTCCCTCTACAAGCACGACGGCAAGCTGTTACTGAAGAACCTACAGCGGGACCAGGCTGGGGAGTACTTCTGCAAGGCCCAGAGCGACGCGGGGGCTGTGAAGTCCCAGGTCGCCCAGCTGATTGTCATAGGTAAGCCTGGCAGGGTCCCCGGGGAACCTCTACTGCAGGACTGGGGACACCTCAGTGGACATAACTGGGCAGTAAAAACCCCAGCTTTTCAGTGCTACGTCCTCTGGGACACAAAGATGTCACAGACCCCAATTCTACCCTCTTGGAGCTGCCACCCCAGGAGAGGCAAGGAACTGTAATGAAGGGACGAGTAAAGATAGACAAATGCATTTAAAGCAAGAAATAATGGGCCCTCTAGATGAGAGATAGAGACTTTCTAGGTAGGAGTGACCATGGGTGGCTCCTTGAGAGAGCAGCATTTCAACTGGGGCTTAAATAGTGGTTTTTAGATTTGGATGCCCAGTGGGTTCACCTGGTTGGTGGTGTTAACAAAAACCCAGATGCCTGGAACTTACCCCCCGCCCCCTCCCCAAGAGAGTTTTTTTTTAAACATATTTTTATTGATTTCAGAGAGGAAGGGAGAGGGAGAGATAGAAACATCTATGATGAGAGAGAATCATTGATCGGCTGCCTCCTGCACGCCCACACTGGGGATCAAGTTCATAACTTGGATATGTGCCCTGACTGGAATTGAACCATGACCTCCAGAACCATGAACCATGGTTCATAGGTCGACGCTCAACCACTGAGCCCTGCTGGCCAGGCACCCCCAGAGAGTTTTATTTCATTGGCTTGGCATGTGGGCTGGGTATGCACAGTTTAAAAGCTTTCCCAGGTGATTCTAATTTACAGCCAATGTTATAAAGCCCTGGCCTTAAAGCAGTGGTTCTCAACCTTGGCTGCCCATTAGAATCACCTGGGAATCTTTTTAAAATCCTGATTTCTGGGCCTCATCCTCCAGAAATTCTGTTTCTTTGTTAT